TAAACTGATGGCACTTTATTTATTAATATATTTTATTTACTTGTAAATCGATGAATAAATCGAATGGCGGTTTACTTATGCATATACTCTCTACACAAGAAAATTTAGGCAATCTACAATAGGATATAAATAAGTATAACTTTAAAAATACGATAATTACACCAGGGAAATGTGTAACAACAAAAGCGACGTGTAACCAGTAGATGGTTCTTGACATCCTTAATGGTTCCATTCTTGAAATAATTTATAACATCATAAAAATGGTTCAATATCTATCATACGAATATCTTCTTCAATAATCACTTGCCAACGTCATCTTTTCAAACGATGATTTTGAAAATCTATGTAGAAAACAGTAAAAAAAAAATATTGAATATTTTGTGTATTCTGATATTTAAATAACCGTGTATTTATATATATATAAGTAAATAAATATTACGCATAAATATTTCGATATTTTTTTTATTTAATTTAGGCTATATAAAATCATTTATTTTCTTCAAAGAAAAAAAAGTTAAAATGAATTTGTATAATTATAAACACTTAAAACAAAGTTTTTAATACGTAAAATACGAAATTATTCGTTTAATATTCAGACGAATATGATTTATCACGTCAAAAACTAATTTTTCATTTTGCGCCATTTGAATATTTCCAAAAAGTATCACTACCACTTCTATTAATATTCAATATACATTTATTGGATCGTTTTAAACTCGTTTTAAATTTTAAATGTTTTATCATCAATTATCGAAAGTCATAACGAAACACATAAAGAGCTGATTTTGTTTACTTAATGTATTTTAAACGACATCTCTGAAAAATTTCTGTAGAAAAAAAAAAAAATATATATATATATATAATTTTTAGATGTCCCGAATCGATGATTCGTGAATTGTTTGTTGAATTTGTTACCGAATGTTAGTTTGATGTCAATACTTGGAAGATAAATCTGTTTGGTTTCTTATCTCATACGTCTGTTGTCAGCTAGTTTTCTTATGTAAACATTTACAGTTGGAAAGATTTATTAAGTGTAAGATATTTTGAAGCGCGAGTATTTGCGCGGGTTTTCCTATAATGGGATAAATTTTTTTAATTTATCTAATTTCAGAATATTTAGATTTATTTCTATAAATTTAAACAAATATTTTCTTTCAGGTTTCTGTATTTTTGTCGGTTTTAAAAGATGAAATTTTAATTGTTTATTTGATTAATTAATTAATTAATTTCGATATATTTAAATTGAATGTTTTAATTTTTTGTAAATAATAAGAATAATTGTAAATATTTGCAAATTTTGATAATTTATTCAAGTTATTTCACTTATTGTAACACTAGATGGCGCTATGCTGACTTGATATTTTTATCAATTGCTTTGTGAGAAACACATGCAATTGGTAATTATAAATTAAATAATAAAAATTTATAAAATAGTTTTTATTTCAATTAATTTTTTTTTACGTATTTAACTTAATGACTTTAACTCGATTTAGATTGGAATATAATCCGCAATACTGTTAATTTTTACTTTTCTGCTCAATTTATTTTTGCTTAAATTATAATTCTTTATGCTCCATATGTCAATATCTTTACTCTCGATTACTTACCTTTATATTTTTATTTTTCTTCTTCCAATTTTCGATATTTAGAGATCCATTTTGTATAATTGTTATCATTATATATATATTGTTTTTTTTTCTGGTGAAAGTTTATTTTTGGAGAGAGTCGTCACAAGAGGGTCACACAAATTTCTTTCCCGCTTTTAACTGAAACCACATAAACGGAGTGTAAACAACGGAGCAAAGTAATTTATCTTTCTAGTCGGCAAAGTAATAAGTTTTCATTAGTCGTATAATCATTTACTTTTATCAGAGGCTCCTGGCATCTACTCCTTTGCTTCCTAGTTCCCGCCGTGCATCGTCACATGGGAATTAAACCTTTGGCAGTTTCGTCCCCAGCAATTACCGCAATTGTACAAAGTCGTAGTAAAAAGCTTCCTTTTACATTTTACTTTCTCTTTATTGAAGTCGGCGAATGTAATGAACTCTTTTAGGATTGAGTAAATTTACTGTTTTGCGCATCTATTTTTTTTTTTTTTTTTCTTCTTCTTTAGAAAATTTTTTCTTATCTTGGAAATCTCGATTTATCAAACGATTTCTTTTGCATTTCAGTTCCAGTAACAATTTAGCAATCTATACAGTTTACTTTTGTTTCTAAAAGACAATGCAGTAAATGTTAGCTGTATATTAAATTTATTGCCAAGACTGCTTGGTATCGATTATAAAGTAAGTTGAAATTATATAATTTTTAAGATTATTATTCAATTTATTTTTCATTTTTTTCCCCAACTATTTCTAGCAAAAATTTATTTTGTAAGTTTCCTTTTTGTTAGAAAGTAGTAATAATGTATTATATTCTCTACAATGGAACAAACAAATGTCCTATAAAAATATTTCCTAACATTTTTTTATGTTATAATACTAAAAGGACTTACAAGTTTGCTACGTTTTCCTTAAACATATCATCTACCTTTTTTAAAGTTATTTTTCCCTCTTTTAAATTCTGTTCGTGAAACAATACTTGTAATGTTATTTTATGGAAACTACAATTACATTAAAGAAATGCATTAACTTTCATTTCTTTCATGATAATAAGTACTTTATACTTATATACTATAGACTCATGTTAATGATTAAAAATCCAAAATTATAATTAAGACTCAATGTTTTGTAGTGTTTAAAGTATTACCCGTGTATTAAAATATGCCAGTTTCTTGCACAATTAAGGAATGATAATAAATGATGAAGCAATATCTTAATGAATATATAAGCTATAAATTACAAAATTCTTTTCATAGTAAAACAACAAAGAAGATAAACATTTTGAATGGCGGCAGGTTTGTATATTAATTAATTTTAATACCGATTTCTAAAAAACAGTGTATTAAATCTGTAAATAAAAACTATTTCTAAATTGTTTTATTAGAATAAAAAAAAAATGTATTTGATCATAATTTAAATAAAATTTACTTTTTTAAATCTTCTTGTTTGTATTATAATCCATTAAATTCCAGTTTCTTTAAGAAAATCTTCCTAACTTGATGCATAACGCTTTACTGAACATCTCAGCTGAGTAATCTATTTTAATGTTACAACAGCAAACCGTAAATTTGGCTTGAGCATTATCTTAGAGTAGCCTTTCGTATAATTCAACATTTCTCATTGTGAAGAAGCTTACTTAAACAATTCTTAGCATTTTTAAATGTTGGTTATTTAAGATAGTGGCGTGAGGATTATATTTTGTAGAATTTAAATAAATTTCTATTATTGATTTAAATTTGTAAAAATTTAAAATTAATTTGTAATATTTTTTCCAGTTATTAATCAAAGATATTATTTCTATGATAAGCAAAGTTGTATTTCATTCACGAAAAAATGACATAGCCAGTTTTTCATAATCTACTTTATTTCTCAGAATCTTAGTTTCTTTTTTTCTTTTTGGTCACTTTTATTCCAAGGATGGGGAAACTTTTAAAGGAATCTGATGGGGATAGGAAATGGTATCGGAAGAGGAAAGAAGGTCAAAGGTTAGCGGCAGTGCAGCAATTACACTTTCCTACACGCTATTATAGTAACTTAACACGTATACACGTACTGTATGTATATATACATACATATATATTGTATACTTATTTATCACCAGAACTACAGGCTTTTTTTTTTTGAGTGATAACACCACCACCAACAATATGACATGGATATAACATCACATTCACTTACACAACTGGGCAAAAAATATATAAGGAAAAAATTAAAAACAATTCTCAACAATAACAACAATAATACATCGAGCAACGACAACATTTACATTATGTACACACCGCGAAAAATTAATCGAATCAAACAGAATGAAAATAAGTCATCATCACTTGGAAGTTTTGGTAGAATTTCTACCAAACACCGACGTCATCACTCAAGCTCCCTACTTCCAGTAGGGCGCCATACATTTCCGACTGTCTTGTTTCCACCGCATCGTTTGATTATTTAAATTAGCAGTTGGCGGCTTAAACGGAAGCGATGTCATATCCTGTTTCCATGAAAGATGACGTATGCAACAACAGCTATAATAATTAACTCATTAATAATAATAATAATAATAATTACATACAATAATTATTATAACAACGCGTCGTGCTTGTATCAATCGTATACTTATCTAGAAAGTTGTACGTTGTCGGTGTTTCATGGATACATATAGTAAGTTTTGTGAGAAATTGCCATCTGAAGACGATTTCCCGTCTACACGCTATTGTGTGAGGTACCATTGTCGCCGAAGTACAATAAGTCCCGAAGCATTTGTGCATTAATAAGGGACATGCTGTATACAAATGTTCCTTTATAAGCTTATGTTAGGAATTGATTGCTGTTATTTCTTTAAGATCCTGTTCAAGGCTTCTCGAAAATTCTTCACGAGTTTACTGTCATTGGAAGAACTGTTTTTTTTTTTTATGTTTTCTTTTTCCTTTAGGAATAAGCAAAACGGAGACTGTTCTTTTGAAAATATGTTTCTGCTGAATGTTGATGATTCAACGTTGTACTTTACGTTTCACTGTTTAATAACGTTGTGTAGAAATATAAAATATTTCAGCTTAAATTTTGAATATGTACAAAAAATACTAGAAAAAAAACAATAGTGAATTAGGCTTTTCCTCTTGGGTAATGCATTGGTATTGATGGCAATTAATTTTTATTTATTTAAAATAATTGTGTGAATTAATATAATTTATTAATAGTAAATTAGAGGTAATTGCAACTTTCAAGGAACTATTACAAATGCTTAAGTATTTTCTCTCTTTAAATTAGACAAATCATTTTCATTTTTTTAAAATAATGTTTTAATTGTTTGACCCGTAAAATAATTTAGAACGATTGAATTTCTTCTTTTGATAAATTACTTTAAAACAAATCTTCCGACTTTACTCCATTTTGATTATCAAACTTAAATTTCAAAAAACCAGCTTTCAACATTTGATTTAAACATTTAAAATATAGAAAATCTTAAACAAAAACATTAAAAATTTTCAAAGCTATAAAGGTAAATAGAAAGATCTCTAGAAAGGAACTTTTTGTTTCTTTAATAAAAATGCCTTACACCGAAGCGAAACAAGATTTGAAAGTACTGTATAACCTTTCTATTTCTTTTTCCTTTTTCTTTAACTGGACAATTTAAACTACAGCCTAGAAAGTCAAGAAAAAAATTGAATTGAAGAGCCCTCCGGCGACCCCGAAAGCTTAGCAAGATTACCAATTGAACCGCTGAACTGAGTTCCTAACGCTCTCTTCAGCTATAGCCATGAAAGGATTGAAGTAACCAAAATGAGAAACGACAAATGGGTTCTACATTCCTGCAGCTTTTTTATTCCCTCATTCTTTTGTTCTAGGGGACTTCCCTTCTCCCGTTTCTGCTCCGCTCGTGTGTTTAACCTCCACCAAGCAAGCCTTCTCGTATCGGAAATCAATCTGGGTAGAGAGACAGGAAGCTTTAAAGTAGGACTTTCTCGATGTTCTCTAGAGTGTTAGAAGTAAGAAAATAACGAAAATCTGAAACTCTTTTAAACAGAATTGTGGTGATGACTTTGTGAAAAAGAATCTTTAAAAAGAGCATTTGACAAAAGAAGATGTATCCCTGTATGCAAATAATAGTCTTACTTAGATTGAAAACTTGATCTTGCAGATAATATTATTGAACATTATACCTAAGTTATGCAACAAATCTCATTCGAACAAAGAATTCTAACACTAAAACAATTTTCCCCTCTTTACACTTGATACTTTCTATAAATCTTGTAGGATTCTCTTCGTAATGGAATTTCTTGGATATTTGGCAACCTAAATTCACTATACGATAGATTTATTACGTATTTTTTTTTTCTCAATAAATATCACTATTCTATCACGTTGTCATCTATGCGACGTAACTTAATCGTAGCCTATATTTTCGTACGTATTTGAAAACCTAAATAATCTATGCCAACTACAATGTAGCTCTATAGATTAAACTGAAGAAAATTTAGACTATGAATAGATGTTATCAAATATAGACTACATTAAGCTTCATTCTCGTATAGGCCTACATCTCGACTTTTCTTATTTTTTTTGAAAATTGTACAAATTTAATTATGTGCGAGCATAAAAGTGTCTTTTAATACTGTCGAAGGATTAGATTCTTCGTCTTGTTTTGTAATAACATTCTATATGGATACCACCAGACAGGTTACCGTTCGATTTTGATCTTTTTCTGATCAATATATTGCACTTAATATTTAAATCGAAATTTAATTATAGATAAACTTAAGATAGATATGTGAGCTTCTCTTTTGATTAGGTGAAAAGTATTGCCCCAACCCTTTTCAATAGTTCGTTTCGGCAAAGAATCCGTCTTAAATTCACATCATTTTTGAAGACAGATAAACATCACGGCAATCATTTCCAGATAAAAGAAGAGAAGTAAATATAGTAATTTGTTAATGCAATCTATATGGCCTTCAATTCTTTCACGAGAACGTGAAAATAACTTACACCTCCTCTCTGTATCAATCTTCGTGGTTTTCGAAAAACCGAAGACTATTGACAAAAATGATGAACAGTTTGAATGTATATATTTTTTTCCGTATACTTGTTGTAACGTATATTATATAATATTTTTTTTTTATATATTGTGCACGTAAACACCGTGTCCATATCTAAATTTAAGCTTTGGTTTCATTGTGAAGATGGTGATGATGATCTGGCATCATCTGAGGTATCTGTGGTGGCACAGCGTTGGCCATCTTATGCTCTTTCTTCCATTTCATCCGTCGATTCTGAAACCATATCTTGATCTGTCGTTCAGATAGACATAGAGCGTGAGCTATTTCTATCCTTCTTCTCCGCGTCAGATAACGGTTGAAATGAAACTCTTTCTCCAATTCTAAAGTCTGGTAGCGTGTGTAGGATGTTCGCTGCCTCTTGGTCTCACCCATGGCGTTGACACCGTCTGAAAACACAAAGAGAAGACTAAACGTCAGCACATACGACGTAGACAAATTCCAACAACGCCCTCGGTCATTTTTCATTCTGCCTCAGACCGCATGGTTTTCATTCGCGTCTTACAGACAATTAAACCTATGGAAAGAAAAACGCAGCATTTCTTTAATAGGTTAAATGTCTCTTGGTTGTTTATGTAATTTTGAGGATCTCAGAGGTGGTCTTCGTTTGTGAAGAATCGTTTCTAAGATAAAAATAAATTAACCGTTCTGAGATGGTCTGAGCAGAAATATTTCGCGCTTATATTTTTTATAGTCGCATCATTAATAACTAGAATTATTTTACATTGAAAGATAATGATAAGATATTTCAATATAAAAAAGCATCATTAAACCAAATTTTCTTTAAATAATTCCACGAAAAGATTTTTATTTGTAATTAAAGTAAACATAATTAAAAAATATATATACAATTTGAAATAATTATTGAAATTTTTTATGTAGAAACAATTTAAAATAATGTTTGAAAGTCTTAATTAAAATATAGTTTTAATTTTCAATAAAAATAAATTTTAAAGATTAAATATAATATTCTAAAATTAATTAAGTTTATCGATATTATAAGTGTTAAATACGAAGATATAAAACATTAAAACTTAAATTTAAGCAAATTTAAAAGTATATATTTTTCTTATACGAAATTACAAAATAGAATACAACTATTTATATTTTAGAAACCGTTTAAGTTCTGCACCTGTTACAAAGTGGCATACAAAAATAAATTCCTTTGTTTTTAACGTTTTTACTTTTGCAAGAATAAAATTAAATAATAAATCAGAATTTTCATAATTTAGTCCTTATTATTTCAACATTAATTGGCCTAAATTTCCAATTAATAATCTGTTCATAATTACAATTAATTAGTATTTAAGAACAAATAATAAAAAAATCAGATACCGATCATTACGTATGTAATTTATATATTTATTAAGTATAAAAAGGTTTTAAAAAACGCATTTTCAATCTCATTAAAATTATACAATAATAATTTCATATATCGAGATATAAACGTGCTTATTTTTTCTAATAATTCCTCTAATCTTGTCATCAATATGTCATATTATAGAAGGAAACTAGATTTTTTTTAAATATATATAACTACACGAAATTTGACATTTTTTTCCTGGAAGAACAGGTAAAATTGCGAAAACTCATCACGCGATAGATGCGAAAAGATTAAGACAGGATGGGTCACGATGCTTGTAAATTACGTACTGGATGCAAATCTAAGAAATCATTCACAAACTAGACTTATTTTACATCATAACATAATCTGTTTCTTCTTATAACAAATTGCAGCATATTGTTTTCTTTGGTTTCCATAAGAGATTGTAGAAAGATATCTCAGAAAATTTTCTTGTGATTAAGTCCAGACCCACTTTTCGTTTACTCAAAAATTCTCAATGCTTTTAAGAGACTCGAGATGAGTGATGCAGTAATAAAATTACAATTTAATCAATCTTCTTTCTGTAAATTTTGTAAATTGTTTTATTCAATGTTCTCTAATGAATCTAATAATTAAATTTTAAATAAATTACTTTAACGCATTAATATACAACTCGCATACAAGATAATTGTGTTAATAGTTAATAAGTATTCATATCTTAAATTAATTTTAAAAGATATAATCTCAAGATACTACAGATATCATTCGGAAGGAATAGAATAATGTAAAGTTTAGAATTATTTTTCCGGAAACTTTTTTTAAATTTAACTAGACGAATTAATTAAAGAATTTTGAATGAAGAAAATCAGAAATTTAATTTATCATACAATAAAATTACAGCTTTATATCTATATAAACTATCCTTATATATGTTTTCTATATAAACCTATGCATTTAGCCTATATGTCTGAATTTCTCAGTAAAAATTCTCTCTACAGTAAAATAAAGCTTAAAATATACTTTAAAAGCTATATTATCTAGTAGAAATTACTTTAAAGCAATATTATCTGTATTATATGTAATAACTATATCATTAGCTCATACCAGAACACTTCGTCTCTCACTGTGATTTGTTTAAGTAATGAAAAATAAGCGAGTTATAAAGGAAAGAAATCAGTTCAACTAGAACTTGAATAACATAAATTAATAAAAAACAAATCAATATTCATCTAACATACAAATTAGATTTCAGATATCATTACATTAACTATAAGATGTCATGTTTTGTAAAGATTTAGGTCAGATACAACATGTTTACATCAGTTATCGTTTATCCAAATTAAAAATACATCTGATTGAGTTTAAATTATTTAATAATATTATTAATATTAACTAACAACAATGTATTATAATTAAGAAATTAAAACGAAATTTAATTTTCTAAACATTTAATTAATGCTTAACTAAAGTTCATATTGCTTTTTAATTTAAACGTAATAAAAAATTTTTTTTTATTTTAATATTTCCTTAAAAAATTAAACATATTTATAATGCTACTAATTAAATATTTTATATCTTAAAATTCGTTTTAATAATAAATAGAAATTCTTCAAGTTAAAACATTTTTAATTATGTTTAATTAAATGATTAAAATAATCAAGAGGAAAAAAATTATATAAAAATAATTAACTTTTATTCTGGATTTTTGAAATGTCAGCCTGTTAAAACCTTTAATATAAATTGAAAAATTGCTACAGAATTTAAATAACAATCTTTCGAAAACTAGAGAATCCCTTATTTTATGAAAAATGAGGATTAAATAAATATAGCCATTGTCTTTCCATACTCGAGATTAAAAAAATAAAATTCTTTAAAATTATAGGAGATTAGCATCACTCTTAGAAAAAAATTTTTTCATGACTCGAAACAAAACCGAACAATTTGGACCAAAATGCCTGAGGATAAAAATGATAAAAAGTCTGATAATAAAGATCCTGAATATATTCCGGTTGTGCTTGGCTAAGAACGTGGAATTACCTTTTTCCAAGGTTATCCTATAACCCTTTCTTGGTTCAATTCTCTCTATTCTCCAGAATGTACCGATGATTATTAACATTTAAAAAAATATTTAGGAGCTATATTTTAATTTCATACAATTTTCTTCATTTATTTTCACGTTTACTTCAATCTAACAAGCAAAATAATTAAAGTTCTAGTTATAAATAAGTTATTTTCTATATATTAATTGAAAAACTATTTTAAGATTTTGTATTTTTTTTAAAGTTTAAAAAATGCCTTAAATACATTAAATTAGAATGTTTAGAAAAGTTTTTAAAGTTTTACATTAGAAAAATATAGTTTTTCCTTTCTAAAAAGGATTTAGTAAATTATTTAAATAACTTAACATTGTAACATTCAATTTATTTCAATAAATAATATGTATTTAAATATCGATTTTAATGTAGATTTATTAACATCTAAATGATATTTTAAAGAAAATTTTTAACAATTAATTCCTTTTTTTTAATAATTAAAAATTACACTATTTAAATTATTTTTACAATAATATTAACGTGTTTAAATCTATTAAATATTAAATAAAAATAACACTTGTTTCCTGGCTACAATTATTTTAATGATGCGCATCTATTGTAATAAATCATTAATTCAAGTAAAAGCGTATCAAAATGTCTATCTTTTCGCTTACTATCATATTCATTCATTCGATATAATTGTCAATATAATAATTTTCCGTTTATTTCTTTTTTTTTTTATAATAAAAATTTAATTAATTGATTCTTGCAATAAATAAACTTAATATAATAATCTACACTAGACTATTTAAGATATTTTTATAATTAATTCGTTAAAAGTTAAAATTTTATTCACAGAATTTTATTTTATCGTTAATAATAACAGTAAATAAAGAGATTTTTAATGAAAATTTAATTTGTTTATGAATCATTCACCAGAAAATTAATTTGGTTATTTTTAGAGACAGACAAATTACTATACTTGATTCTTAAATCTTAATTTTCTTAATCTCTCAATCTCGTTATTTATATAGCAAGCTTCTTAAAAATATTTTTTTCTTTCTCCACGATTTTAATTAATTTATAATCAGAAATTAAATAATTATTTTTAAAATTTAGTACGATAAAAGAGAGCATTAGTGTTATGAAAATTTCTTTGCCATAGTTTCAATAAAAATGATTGATGTTTGTTATTCCTTTATGGCACATGAAAAATTTTGAGTAAATAAAATATTTTTGGAAAGTATTCTATGCCTCGGATCATTGTAAAAGAGTACAAGAAGAGAGCAGTCTGATCGTAAAAGAAACCATGCATCAATTCGAATATAATATTGATTTTTCATCATCCACAACTTTTCTATACTTTAGAAAATGACATTAATCAAATGTTCACGTACAAATCCTGTAAAATTTTAATCTATAGATTGCAAGTAGAATGATGAGAGGTATTCAGTAAGGTATTTTCTACGTCAATGTACTGTACAGTATTCAGTTCGATATTACTAGAATTAAGCCACTTTTTATTGATTAAAAACTTCTTAATCTCATCTCATTAAAGCTTGAATATATAAAATTTATTCAAATTTATAGCGCAAATACACAAAAAGAACTGTACTCTACACTGTATAGGATCATTCTTTAAATATTTAAAAGTCAATAAAAATACTATTTTGTATATAATTATTTAAAGTTTATAATAAAATGTAGACTAACTACATTATTAAATTTTATAAAGTAGTTTCGAATGTATTTTTATGTATGCAATAAATTTAATTTTATTTGTAGAACGTGAGAATTTTTCTACCTGCATAACAATTTATTAGTTCTAATTTCTCTTTCTAAACTAGTTTGTTTATTGTAAATGTTAATAATAATTGATTTTTAATGTTCCTTTTTAATATTAATGCCGTATTGAGGTGAACTACCAGAATTTTAATTACATTCACATTTGGTATATTTCTAATATTTATTACGTTTAACTCCCGCATTTTATCTCAATTTTAACATTTTTATCTCTATTTTAATTTAGTTT